TTATTTAACTCCTGTTAGTCTATCATTCAAATATTAGCATATTTTACAGGCACTGTGTTCGTTTCCCCTCGTGCCATATGCTCCACTCTGTCTGTTCGGTTTATCTGAGCTCCCATTTTAAACTGAATTTAAACGGCGGGGGCTTAGGAGAGCACCAAAGTTTTATCTATATAATGTATTTTACCCTGTTAATTGAGTTACTGAAATATATGAACTTTCCAAAATCAAATTAAAGAAATGTATTATGTTATGTGTTCACATTGCTTTGCAACTGAATAGATTAATTGGATATGACTAAAAGTCTTTTTTGTTCTTTGGCCTCCTTTGTTCAGGAATCTTTGCAGCAATGTGCTGCATAAAATGAACTGAAGCTCTTTTCCCTCTGAGTTCATCTGGTAAATTTTTATTATTAATTTTTTTAATTTAGTTTTAAAATGAAAAAGTGTTTAATTTCAGTATTTGTGTATACACTGTAAATTCCAATAGCTGTCAAAGCTTGAATTAATAAGTTAGCTGTATAATGTGTGCTTCTTAATTGGTTTTACAAAGTAACAATTAATTGCATGGTGAAAAAAGGTATTTACTTTTTATTTCGAGTGAGTGTAACTTCTTTGAAGTTGCTAAGAGTGACTTTTTGGAACTCAACCTAAGAACAATCAGGGCTGGGTGTGAGCATGCTCAGTAGAAGCCACCAACGGTCAGACCCCTGTTCAGGACCGCATGGTACCTGTTGGACTACACAGACACATTTGATGGAAATTTAATGATTTCATCGCTTGTGAAACAAGGTCAATTTTCAAGCAACTTAGGTTAATATTATTTAATATATATATATATTATATATTATTTATATAGTATGTGTGAATTTGTATTTCTGTGTCTGCTGCCTCAACATCAGCCAACATTTGTTAAACATTAACAAGTTAACAGGCAGAGTACATGTTTGCACATTTTTTGGCGGCTTTCCAACATCATCCAGGGATTCAACAAAGAAGAAATTGCCGAGTTACAAATTAATTCATGAATGCATTTTTCTGTCTCTAGTGTGTAGATAAAACACACAAAAAGGCAATTTGTAAGCACATTTTGCACCCACATTGGTTGGACAATTAGGAGTACCTAAGTTACTTTACTACTAGTTTCTGTTCAATCTTTTGCAAAGCGAAAATGATGAGAATACATGATAACAGTTGGCAAGTAGCTGTCACAATGTTAACTTAACTAAACCTTTTAACATTATTATGCATTTTTAACACATCTCCATCAAGGAGGGAAGTTCAGGGCCATATCACCACTAAGATTGCTCTTGCTCTCCCTCCCAATTGTTACTAAAATTTGTGTCTTTTGCAGGGTGTTACAGGGACACATTAAATATAAAACATACATCAGTTTAGTGTCGGTGTATTTCTTTGTCATGTTTCACATGTCTGAGTTGTTTTAACATTAATCCTACAGTCAAACACATTGTTGCATTTTTTAGATTTAAATGAAATGTGCCAAATAGTTTAGATGAATTCACTTCCCTAAACTTTATATATGAAACATATATATTAATTCTTCTTTCCTGTAGAAATTATCATCTCACAGGTTCTGATTTATCTTGCAAAAGTCAAAATAAAATAATGTATATATATATATATATATATATATATACACTATATTGCCAAAAGTATTTGCTCACCTGCCTTGACTCACATATGAGCTTAAGTGACATCCCGTTCCTAATCCATAGGGTTCAATATGACGTCGGTCCACCCTTTGCAGCTAGAACAGCTTCAACTCTTCTGGGAAGGCTGTCCACAAGGTTTAGGAGTGTGTTTATGGGAATTTTTGACCATTCTTCCAGAAGCGCATTTGTGAGGTCGCACACTGATGTTGGACGAGAAGGCCTGGCTCTCAGTCTCCGCTCTAATTCATCCCAAAGGTGTTCTATCGGGTTGAGGTCAGGACTCTGTGCAGGCCAGTCAAGTTCATCCACACCAGACTCTGTCATCCATGTCTTTATGGACCTTGCTTTGTGCACTGGTGCACAGTCATGTTGGAAGAGGAAGGGGCCAGCTCCAAACTGTTCCCACAAAGTTGGGAGCATGGAATTGTCCAAAATGTCTTGGTATGCTGAAGCATTCAGAGTTCCTTTCACTGGAACTAAGGGGCCAAGCCCAGCTCCTGAAAAACAACCTCACACCATAATCCCCCCTCCACCAAACTTTACACTTGGCACAATGCAGTCAGACAAGTACCGTTCTCCTGGCAACCGCCAAACCCAGACCCGTCCATCAGATTGCCAGATGGAGAAGCGCGATTCGTCACTCCAGAGAACGCGTCTCCACTGCTCTAGAGTCCAGTGGCGGCGTGCTTTACACCACCGCATCCGACGCTTTGCATTGCACTTGGTGATGTATGGCTTGGATGCAGCTGCTCGACCATGGAAACCCATTCCATGAAGCTCTCTGCGCACTGTTCTTGAGCTAATCTGAAGGCCACATGAAGTTTGGAGGTCTGTAGTGATTGACTCTGCAGAAAGTTGGCGACCTCTTCGCACTATGCGCGTCAGCATCCGCTGACCCCGCTCCGTCAGTTTACGTGGCCTACCACTTCGTGGCTGAGTTGCTGTCGTTCCCAAACACTTCCATTTTCTTATAATACAGCTGACAGTTGACTGTGGAATATTTAGGAGCGAGGAAATTTCACGACTGGATTTGTTGCACAGGTGGCATCCTATCACAGTTCCACGCTGGAATTCACTGAGCTCCTGAGAGCGACCCATTCTTTCACAAATGTTTGTAAAAACAGTCTGCATGCCTAGGTGCTTGAATTTATACACCTGTGGCCATGGAAGTGATTGGAACACCTGATTCCAATAATTTGGATGGGTGAGCAAATACTTTTGGCAATATAGTGTATATATATATATATATATATATATATATATATATATATATATATATATATATATATATATATATATATATATATATATATATATATATATATATATATATATATATATATATTTATATATCACTAAAATCTTCCTGTGAAAAAATTCTTGCAGATGCACTGGACTTGAAAGCAGTGTATTTTTCTACAGACAAAAGAGGACAGTTATTAAAACACTTATCACCTAAAACACGGAGGGTTTAACCGGCAACAGCCAATACCGTGTCTTCATAACAATTGCTTGTGCACTTTCAAATCTTTTAATGCACTCAAAGTGCATTTATCTGTTTGGCACTGTCAATCAGACAATGGATAAGCAAGTAAAAAAACGGGGTTTGCATTTTGTATTTGTTTTGGTAACTTTTTAATCTTGCGTAATCTTGAACTTAATTTTTTTATCCACTTCTAGAAACTAGATGTGACAGCAGTGCATACCCTTGTTCTCCAAGGCATCCCTGTTCTACTTGGTGTGGAACTTCTATAACACCTCCTTTGTAAGTTCTCACATCTTAGAGGAGCACATGCTGTATATCGCAAAGATGGGCAGCATGCTGTGACATTTCAGTGTATGCCAACAGGGTGATGCTATAGCCTAGGTCCTGTGAAATAATAGAAATACAGTCTTTGCATATTTAAGATTCAGTCCAGATTAAATCAATAAATAAATAAATAATCCCCTAAAAAAATAAAGCAGCCATTCAACTAACTCCTATTGCATTCCATGTCACAGTCTTACAGTGCTCAGTGCAACAATGCCACGCTCACTTGCCATGCTTCAATTGTGGGTTCTGCACAAGAGGTAGAACATTTATCTCCCTCACATACTCTAGCTGTAACAGCAATAACATCTGAATAAATTGACTGACATCAGAGCTTCATTTTATTCATGTTTTCAAGCTGGGTGTAGAACAGATCACTTGATGACAATTGACAATGCCTATCTACATTTACCTGTTGTAATGTTGTTTTTCATTGGTTGTATACAGGATTCTGAAAGGGCTGAGGCCTGGGCCCAGGTATCTGTTGGGTTGCTGACTGTCATTAGTGAAGATGCACCTCTCTATCAAAATCATCCCCATCTTCTAGTGTCTACCGCCATCATGATATCTGTTACGTTCTCTAAAAAAAATAGCTTTAACAGCCAATTTACTGGTGTCAGTATCTATAGATCAATTCTAAGCACTTTGACATGTTCTGACAGGTGTGCTGTTGATTTTATGGTCCAAAATGCAGAATTAAAGCTCTAATTTTATATTTCTTGCTAAAGACAAAGTTGTGAAGTACTGTAGCTCATTGTCTTTGCAGTTGTAGTTTTGCATTTGCAAGATATATGTTCTATTTGAATGTTGTGGTATGTTTTTATCTGAAACCACAAACAAAGAACAAGTGAGTTTTGCATATCATTTGTTTCAACATATTATCTTGTTCTAGCAAAGTCCTTATAAGGTGCTTTATGGTCCGAAGGCGCTACCAATACTGACCAAGAACTGGAGGAATCGGCATTCACCTAAACTTCATACATAATAAACATATTTTTGTTTATTTTCATTTCTAATTTTTATATATTATTTTAGAATATAATTCAACTTTATTGTCATTACACTGTCACAAGTACAAGCAATGAAATGTAGTTTGCATCTATCCAGAAGTGCTATACAGGAAATATTTATGTGTGCACAGAAACTATGCATGCACTGAACAGAGAGTAATTGTAAGAGTCTATAAAACAAATAAATATGAAAACCTATACAGTACTTATAGTTGGTGTCAAGAGGCATTCAGGAGCACGACAGCTGTGGGGAAGAAGCGGTTTGAAATCTCTAAATGCTTAGATGCTCTGTTTGATTAATATGGGAGTGGCCCAATCAGTCCCTGTATCTTAATCCAATAAACAGATAAATCAGTATAGAAACACCAAACATGCCATTTCTGACCCAAAATGAATAACAGCAAAGGACCTGTTGAACATATTCCAGTGGTCCAGGAATAAACTGGACTGACTACCTGCAACACAAGTGGCACACAGCACTCAGAAAAAAGAGATTAGAACGGGATGGGGGTTGTTTTTCATTTTTTTATTTCCATGTGAATCAAACAAAATATACAAATTTTGAACGAGAAAATTGTTTTGCTCAGGAATACAGAAAAAAAATGCAATAAAATAAATTCACAAAGTGTAATATGAATTTAAAAAAAAATGTTCTCTACTATTAATAAAGGAAATGATTATTCAAGTCATAAAACTATAATAAAGTTACATTATTAAAAGTCAAAGCAACTAAAAGGAAAGTAAATATGTTTTCCATAAACAACATAAAAAAATACAGAAAAAGACGAGAAGCAAACGATCTGGTGCTAAAGAAGTTTTGTTGGCATGTTGCCATCAAGGCTTTATTGTTAAGACAAACATTATTAATCATTGTTCTTCAGACGGTATGTCACTTTGAATCAGTCACCACCTCTACTTTCTAGTCATCTTCCGTTAAAGTGACTTTTTCTTTCTTTGCATTATGAAAAAAAGAAACCAAATGAACCATCAGCAGATCTTCAACATAACATTTTTATCAGTTTAAAAATGATGCAGAAAGGTTTGAATAGAAAAAGTGTACATTTTATTTACATTTTTTTTATTCACTGAATAATGATCTAACTTGCTCCGCCAGCTGCACACCATCTTAACTTAAATACAAAAAAAAAAAAAAACAGTTACAGCCTCCAGAGGGAGTCATCTAGATATGCAAAGAGCATTCCAGGAACAAAACTACCTACACGATTACTGCACTCTTGGAACAGACAGCTGATGATAAAGCATTACGCAAATTAAAATCTACCTCAACACATCTATATCACAGAGACACTTAACAAAAAAGAAAATACATATGTTGTCCTGCTGAAATTACAAGGTGACCGAGTTTCTTTCAATACATAAATGACATTCTGTTACCTTGGTGCCTAGAACTAGTTATTAATATTTGCACTTCCCCAGTTTCCACTCAGTGTTGCTTCACTCTGAATTGCACAAACGCACCACAGAGTTGCAGATCACTTCTACTGGCTTCAATGAGCCACAAAGCACAACACAATGTTCCTGCTTTGTGTAAATTTTTACAGTTATATTACAGCAATGCTTAGAAGTCCCTGCCGGCTGTAAACACAGATGCAGCAGACCGTGTTCGTTTAACTTCCACGCTGTCGGCAGCTTCAGACGTTGACACAAAACTACTAGTTTAGAGCAGCGAGATGAGCATTCCCAGCGTCTCCTATTTTCAAGTTTTCCCACCTTACTGATGACTTACAAAGCTGCAAAATGGCATGTATGCAAAATGAAAAAAAAACATGACGTGTTTTGCAGAATTAAATGCAGCTCAGAATGAAAAGCTTGTTCCAAATGAAATGGTTGAACATTTCTACATTCATATGGAGTTTCTTACTCAATATAAATGTTTTGAAATAAAAATGTTTGCAGCAAAACATTGGAATATTCCTGTATAGGAGCCGCTTTTCTAGATATATTTACTTGTTTTTAAGAAATAACCGTTAAATAAACCAAAGTCATACACCCCTTTTGTATCAAAAAAAAGTAACATAATAACTACAAATGGGAACCTTAATTTCCTTCTCTTACAGGAAGGTCAGATTTAGGGATTAGGGAATACTGACTTAAAGTAAATTAAAAAAAAAAGTGTTTCTGGAGAAAACATCCAAGAGAACTTTGAAACTTTGTTAAGGATGCTATATTTAGAGCTGTAATACGGCGCCCTCTGCTGGGCGATGTGTATCACAGGAACCATGTGGATCCTAAAGCTCATCTTAGTTTTTTTTTTAGTTTTTTTTTTTATATATATATATTAATAATTAACACCTACTATCCAGTGACCATAATATATATTTAAGCATGTAAGCAAAATCTTCTCATTTTAGTTCACCTCAATGTGGCTCAAATGGCGTCAAGTCTTGAGACGACTTCAGTCATGTTTAACATCCGCTAGGACGACTGACGAGATGTTTGAAAAAGAAAAAAAAAAAGAAGAATGAGAAGACACATGACAATTGGTCAAAAGGAGAAAACAAAAGGTAAACTGGTAGGCTTTAAGAAAACCATAAAAACTCTGCAGCTTGGTTTGGTTTTCGCTGAGTTTGTTTCATTGCTCTGTGAAGGTGTTGGGCTGTGGTGGACACCTTCTGTTCACTGTACGGGAGATATTTGTCTGCAAAATAATGATTTAACATTGTTAGTCAAACAAAGCAAAAGTGATATAATGTAACTGGTGCATCTCAAATAAAAAAAACAATAACAATTAAATTGAACAGGTTTTGGCGCTGAAATACTTTTTGTATGGTTGGTGTCTCTAGGTGTGCAGAAAAGTGTGATTTCCTCGATGTGCTACATATATATACTTATATCCTCTTTGGGTCATTTTCTTCAATTTGTTTATCTTCCTTCCTTATCTATTCTTTTTTTTTTTATCAAAACACTGCGGTATTTTCTGCAGAGCTGCTAAACAAGGTCACGGACCTCTGGTTCTCCAGTCTATCAAATCCACCATTTTCATTTTTTGCAAAAAGCTTTTCCCCCAGGCTCTGAGTTGCTGAAGCTTTAAGTTGATAATTCAGAATGTTTGGTTTCTTTGTGTATTACTCCCTTCAATTCATTACACCGTTCCACATTATCTGCACAACTAGACAATCTTATCTCTGCTATCAGCCTTCAAAGCAGCGGAGCTCTGTGACCTAAAGGGGGGTAAGGTGTGATGGGCTCTATCGCATTTAAGGAGACGGAATACCAAAACAAATCAATACAGTTCCCCTTGATATAGACTGAATGATTGCAATGAAAAAAGAAAGGATTTAAAAACTTGTGTCCCTTTAAGTTTAATTATCCCATGCAAAGTTGTAAAATCCTGTCTAAAAGTAATCTTTCCAGGGGAAACTTTTATTCTGTTTTCAGAGTGGAGAGACAGACTAACCCACTTGTTTCAGGTCTAGTCTGGGGTTTTCACAGCTGATACCCTGAAGGTCATGCTGTCTGCTGCTGTTGGTTCACACAGTTTTATCTGTGTCTAAAGTCTAAAGTCAGATCAGTCATCTACAACAACATTTTAGACCACTTTATGCTTTCTGTTTCAGAAATGCTTTAAGGAGATGCTGGTTTTATTTTCTGGAAGGAGTTGGCAAATGCCCACACTAAAAACTATCAATATCTACTTCAATGACCAGTAACAACATGCTTGACTGATGAGAGACACCGGACCAAACACTGTAGACTAACCAAAAGCCTCAGTTGAAGCACCCAAGACTTTTATTAACGCCTTAGCTGAACCACAACTGGCCGCCTCCCTGCCACCCTGATTCAGTTAAACTGAATGTACCAGGTGCTAATGGCTTTTTGAATTACGACACACCTCTGTTATAATCACTTTCATGGGTCTTAAATATACTAAAAGCTAGTTTTCAGGAATTTGGATTTAGGGTTTTGATATCTTCAATTCATTCTTTCAAATTAACTGAAAACAACTGATGAAAATCCAGTGCTACTCAGACAAGATTACGCCAAGTTTAACCCTTCACTTTCCATTTATAATGCAATTCAATAGAAAATCTGATTTGTCCTAGGAGAAGCAATAGAATGCATTTCAGAATGTACCTTAAAACTGAGCAAGTGCAGCTTGTTTGTCGGCTTCAAACTCCCCTTCGTTGTCATCGTCTCCATTGTAGTCCGCCATTTCATCCTCCATGTTTCTATCTGTTAAAAACATTAAAACAGCAACTTAAAGAAGATCTGTTCTGCAACCAGACTAAATGTTTTAATATGAAAATATTAATAGGAATTACTTCTCCGTTCTTTCTCCAGATCAGCCCCACCAACTACTTGCTCGTCATCGTCGTCATACTCATCCTGTTCCTCCTGGTTCTCACCAATAGCTGCCTCATCTGCTTTCCCTTGACCAATCAGCATATCCTCAATTCCAGGATCTGCTTCTAAAAGAATAGCTATTTAGAGTAGTGTCACAAACGGGCATAAAAATGGCTTTTTCCTCTGAGATCTTCACCATTAGCCTTGGCACCTTCCTCGTGAGCGTCCATCACCTCCATGTCTTTATCAGCTGCCAGTTTGTCTGTCAAACCTTTACCAGTTGTAGCTTCAGTTTCTTCCGTTTTGGCCTCTTTTTTCTGCTGCTTGGTCTGAGTCTTTGAATCGGTGGATAAAACAGTCTGGGACTCGACCTTAGGAAGGTCATCAGTTGGAGGCTGTTCTGAGGAGACTAAATGAAATCATTTCGTAATTAGCTAAAGCAATAACTTCAAAAACCTTATTTTAGTAGCTTTTAAAATAAGTGTATTAACTTAAAATATTAAATGAGCATTAGAAATAATCTAGGGCCAATAAGATGCTCAGTCAAACATCTTCAAATGGCTAAACAGTAAATGTGACATTACACAGTATGTGCATGATGTATTTTTAAATAAAATAACCTCATCATTTATTTTTTCCTTTTACCTTTATCAACGTTGATTTCGTTGCTAAGCAACTCAGGAGCTTTATCTCGTTTGTCCTGAGGGATGCTTGTATCATTGCTCACAACAGCTGCTGTTCCAGCCTCACTGGGAACAGCCTTCACTGTTGGCTCTTCTTTCACTGCTCCATTCTCTGTGGTTTCCTGCTCAGGGGTAAACATTCAAAAACTATTTTTACTAGAGGAGCCCATGCAACAGGAAATTACCCCCCCACACATGCATTATATCTTTATGTAACTGCACCAACATTTACTATGGAGGTACTCAATTTCTAAGGATACATTTAAACTGAACGCTTAAAGGCACACTATGCAACATTTTTCAGTTAATTAATGTGTTCCATAACGTTTTGGATGATTAAATGAGTCATTTCAGGTTGAACAAAGGTATTCTCGGCCTCCCTGGTGGTCTGTGGGGGAAATACCGCACTTGCAATTGCAGGAGCCCTCGGCCCGCACCCACAGGCTCAGAAGTCTCGCGAGAGTCGGTCTTGCTTTACGGCGAGAACTGCTACACGCCCCCAGTTAAAAGCATGCTCGTTGCTAGCACAGTGGCGATCTTTGTGCAGTTATCATGGCGGAACCAGCGTGAAAACAGCGAAAGCCCATGTCGGAGCAGGCCAGAAAGAGGAAAAGGGCTCCGGACAGAGAGAGGAGTCGTACACGGGTGAACATCGGGCAAGCTTTTTCCAAATGGCGAGAGCTAAAATAAAAAGAAGGCTGCAAGGCTGACGCGGACCTCGCGTTTCTGCTGATGCGATTGTAAGTAGCATTGGAATGGTTTCTCTCTCTCTGTGTGCATGTTCATACTTTCACTGTGTTAGTCATTCGTTGCGTTCGCCTGTCTGCTAAGCTCAAAACAACCTCGCCTGGCTTGACGGAGAAACCAGGAGAACAGCTGTGCATATTTACGACAGTGCACTTTTACTTTCGCCCTCTGGGGGGAGCCTCGCTGGAAAATCAACACCGGTTGCATAGTATACCTTTAACTAAACGGAATAATGGGGAAAATGACTTTTGATACATGTCCAATCTATTTCAAGATTTTCACCAAGTAAACAAAACACTATTCATTAGCACCGGTGAACGATAACTTGTTAAATTACAGTATTTCTATTTTGAATGCATATGTCACATATAGCCAATTAAGAAATGTAAATTACCTGTACTGGATCACCTGGAGGAAGAAAAGCTTTCTGCATATTCTTCTGAACTTCTAATTTAACTGCAACTAATTTCTCGTCACACAGCTTCTTTTGGGAAAGGACCTGGGACTGACAGTGTGCCCTGCAAAAGAGATAAATAAAGAAAGAAAAAGAAGCAGATTTACATCAACCAGGATCAGATATGCTTATATATTTTCTCCCCAGCATGTATCAATTTAATAAGAAAATCTTCAATGCACTTAATGTGGATTGACCAATATAAAGCTGTGCAATATTCTGCAGTGAAAATGCCATGAAACTAAATTCATTAATGGTTACAATAGCTCTGTAGAAATGTGAGGCAGTAAAGCAAACCTTCATATCGAAAAATACAATGAAACATAACTGCAATCATTTTTATTTAACTGAAGAGTATCACGAGCATCGTGCTTTTAAGGTTGCACGAGGGAAATCTTGGTCATTATACTGAATCAGTAAGCCTAATAGAATAATGCTGAAAACTTGCATTGGATGTAAACTAGAAATATTTATGGGTCTTTGCACCAAGGAGAATAAATGTCTTTTCAAAGGGCCCCTTTCATTCTAAGCGGAAAACAAAACAAATGGGTGGATCAGCGACACATCTTAAACAATTCAGCAAACAGAATCGAGGAACCGATTTCCAAATCGCTGGTGATAAATTTGCTTTTGTGAATACAGCGCATTTTCATAAATTACTGAGCACCTGTCTGTGATGCACAGAACAGATTACAAAAACTACATAAGCAAAAGAAATTCCAAGCAAACTGGGGTGCCTGTAGGACAGTAAAAACTACAGAGCATGTGAAAAACTATTTCCAGGTCTAGCCAGAGATACTGATTTAGTTTCAGAGCTGATCTTTGATTGGCCGATTTCAAAACATAAATACTGATTTATTCAAACCATTCCAATGGTCGCATTAGAAGGTAAACCTCTGGCTAAATCACAAGTCTTTTACAGCCTCAAACAGGTCTCCCTCTTGGATTCTACTTCATCTTCCCTTTCCTTGTGGAGGAAAATCATCCCCACAGCATGATACTACCACTACTATGTCCCTGGGGGTATAGTGGCTGATATGACGTAAAAATATCAAACATTCTGTCACTCAAACATGACTTGAGGCAAAAAAATAAAAAACTTTTCTAAATTTCACAAGATGTCTGCATTTATACTAGGGCTGCAACAACGAATCGATAAAATCGATAAAAATCGACTTTTAAAAGCGTTGGCAACGAATTTCATCATCGATTAGTTGTGTCGCGCGATTAATGCGTCATCCGCCGCCGCCGTCATCACATCCACTTGACTGAAGCGGCGGAAGAAGAAAAAATACGGCAGAGCGAGCCAGCGCTGCAGGTGCAGTGTTGCCAACTCAGCGACTTTTCAGACGCCTCCACCGACTATTTTTCAAAAAAGCGACTAGCGACAAATCTGGCGACTTTTTACGGTGTCACTGCCGGCTTTTAGAGACTCTTACGTGAAAGCATGTATCATTCCTACTCTGCCGTGGGGCGCCTCCCCCCGCTTCCGCAAGAGTCCCTCTCAGCGCTGCAGTCAGAGCAGCAGGATGTTTACCCTCAGCGTCCAGACTGCAAATGAAGCGCGCATGCACCGGGATTGACGGCGCAAATTGATCACAATAATTAAAATAGCCTGCGCTTTGTACAGCGAAAAAAGTCGTAACATGCAACTTTTGTCAAAACAAATTAACATGGCACGGAACCACCATGCTTGTTTCGTTTTAAAGTGGGGAAACATAACGTTAGTTTCTCAGGTAGCTCATCTGATGCTTTCCTTACCGTGTTAGTAGGTTACAGACAGTGATAAGGTTGGCTACTTATTTTACTTTTAATTTCATTTGAATTAGCTTAAGCAGCATTTATATTTACTTTATAAATAAATTAACTTGCAAATTATGAGGGGCTTTTAAAGTTTAAATCTTCTGGCAAAATTAAAGTAAAGATCCTGCAATTTATTAACCTGACAACAGCCAGATGCATGTCTCACTCCGCCTAGCTCCGCTCACATACATCTGGGAACCCGCCATAGGAATTGCCTTTACTGAAGGCTGGGCCTTATCAAAACTCCTTGCATATGATTGGATAAGCCACTTGTCTGTCATCTTTATTGACGTGCTATTTCAACCACTCACAACGAAGCTAACCCGTGACGCTGTGAGAGGAGGAGCCATTTGGTAGATCAAGCTCTTGCCAAATCCGGTCGGGAGAAGGGCGAAAACATCGTTTCCACCAACAAAAGCCTTCAAAGCCGTTCTCTGATGTTCTTTTAATGAAACAATATCAGATAGATTGGACAACACAGAAGAAATAGCAGCATCAATGCTAATGCTTGCTTCCTCAATGCGAGCCGCCATTGTTGTTGGAATCTCACGGTCGCTTCTCCACTCCAGGACACACCCACCCTGCGTCCTGATTGGACAGACCATAAATTCGGTTGGGGAAATCACTTTCAATGAGCGGGTTCCCAGATGTATGTGAGTGGAGCTGGGCGGAGCGAGACATGCATCTGGCTGTTGTCAGGTTAGCAATTTATGGAAGTAAAGCAGAATAAATTCCAGCAAGATCAGTAACATGTCAATTAATTATCTGCCACATTCCCATGTAAATATCTGTCTTTGGAGGATGTGTTTTTTAGCACCCCTAGTTCTCTCATTTTTATTCCAAATACAATTTATAATTTGAATCACAGGGCTATTTTTATCTCTATGGTTCAGTATTTTCTCAAGTAGCAACTTTAACTTTTAATACTTTCCTGTCTTAAAAGGCAGAACTCTATTAGTCTAAAGAAACCTCATTTGTTGAAATGGGGGGGCCTGTTGTTTGAACCCCTTAGGGGCTTTTAAAAAAAATGTCTTTTTTTGCACTTTATGAAACAAAGTACTCTATATTTTGTGGATGTACAGCTACATTTCTCATGTAAGTTTGCGTAGTTTTAACACAAACATTTATTTTTCATATTGCACCAGTACAGTTAATGAGCAACCTGTACTTGTGTGCTTGTTTGTTCTGTCTAAAATGTTTATTTTGGAATAAAGAGGTTAATATAAAAAATATTTTTTGTCCGATTCATCGATTAATCAAAAAAATAATCGGCCGATTCATCGATTTTTAAAATAATCGTTAGTTGCAGCCCTAATTTATACACATATTAATTCACACATACAGCTGCACATCATTTAGTAATAAGGTATTTTTGAGGAAATCGGTTGAATTTTATTCTATATGAGGTATTGCAAAAAACAAAAACAAAAAAATAAGCTCAAAAGAAATCAACCCATTAGCTTGTTTTTTTTGAAGAACTCTAAACAAATATAAATGTGTAAAGAAATCTTGTCATACATGTCAGCAGTGAATTTATTGCTGAGGTTGGCTGTGTTGGTTTGGCAACTTTGCAGCTCTTTCTGAAGCTTCCCCAGGTCGTCGTTCAGCCGATTCAGCTGACCTGCAGAACAGATGCAAACACAGTAAGAGACTCTAAAGCTCTTCAAGCTGACGTGGCCGCTCAGCTTTAGGGAACCAGAGGTCACATTTTATCAGCTACCTTTAAGTTCTTCTATGGTTCTGGCACTGGAGGAAATACTGTCCTGTAGTTTAACCTGCAGGCAAAAACAAAATCAGCATTAAACTTAACAGCCGTTTTTATCTTCCACATAGAATCCCTTTGAATCAAAAACATGGATGAAATTAGAAGTAATTAGAAGAAATTAGATGAATTAGAAGTACCTGATAAGAAACTATCAGGTACTTCTAATTCCATATGATCACCTTCTCTTGGGTATAGGTGTTATGGACATCATCTAGTTCTTTCTTATGAAGGCTTTCAATGTGATTAATATGCTGCATCTGCTTCTGGATCTGGTCCTCAAACTCCTTCTTCTTCTTCATATCCGCTACTCCTCGCTCAGCCTCTCCACGCCGCAACTGGCCTTCCAGCTCATTCAGCCTCGTCTTTGTTGAAATACACAAATAAAAACTTTTAGATGAATGGATATCAGCCCTTTGTGGTAATGACTTTAGAGGCGACATAAGTATGGATTCATTTAGGTTTGGAGGTGGGCTTTAGTTCTGTACTAATTTTAAATCTCTAGAAGCTATAAAACAGGTTGAAATATTGCACCAAAATATTTGTGCAGGTCACAAGTGGGCTCTGGCTAAATGTAGATATGGAGATGCTTAACATTCATTAACACAGACAGAGGTATGATGTATATACATATACACACAAACACATTTTAAAACTGCACAAAAGAAGAAGCAGCAGATAAAAAGAACAACACTAGAGTGAGCATGCATTACTGATGTTACTAAGTGATGTTTTTAAGCAGTTAGGAAAATATGAAAAAACTGTCTCAGATTTCAGGTATTAAGAAAACTTGTTAGACAGGTGGAGAAACTTCAGCTGCTTCTCCACCTTGCTTTGCTTAGGAAAATAAATAAAACTCCATCCTGTTGAGTCTGAATGAGATTTGTTTAGATTTTATACTCAATATTAAATCAAATAAGAAAATGTTTTTCCACTTTGCCATCTTAAATGAAGTAGTTCAAAGGATTAGTGTGAAGAGTGCTGCCTTATTTTAAGCCGGGTTCTATACAAGCAAGTTTTCTGATTAATATTATCACAACAAAGACAGTGTTCATCAATGAACATTTGATGTTGTGTTGATCTGTTATTAAAAAAAGGTAAAAAAAGATATCAGATTAGATGTTATCTTTAGTTTTTAATAAATTTAGACTCAGTATAAGAACCTTATTCATATAGTAACCAGGATTTATCTTATCCAAGCCATTGCAATGTTATACATGTCAAGGTGGCCTTGGATTAACTTTTACCTTTGTAAATTCCTGCAACCATTTTGCACCATTTATGAAATCCAAACTTCTTTTTTCATTAAAGTGTAATAACACCATTTAGGACACAGTTTGCATTTGCTAGAGATCACCAGGTTTTAAAACTGATTTACTAACACACACACTCTTTGACAGAATTATAATACACTTAAAATGTTTTTATCATTCACAAATTAATGGAAAAGCTCAACCACAAGCATAGTAAACTCTAGCATTATTTAAGCTGCAGGCCTTCTCTTTCTACAGGCGTAGTTTAGTTTAAGTAGGTTTTGACATTTTTGAGGGTTTCCTGTTACATTGTTGAAGAGTGTTACTCTGTCAATGTTTGATCTCTACAGGATGCAAGACAAAGTATGTCACTGTTTTAAAAATGTCTCATCTGCATTTCATACATGAACCTTTCCTCTTTAAAACAGGCCTTCTTTGTACCATCATAAGGAAAAAACTGTTTCTAACATTTATCAAGCTTAGAGATGTCCCGATCCAGGTTTTTGCACTTCCGATCCGATACCGATATTGTTTTTGGACTTCCGATCCGATACCGATACTGGCCGATACCAGCCTATCCGAGCATGTATTTAAGTTTAAGTTAAAGTATTTAGCCTTAGTTGTAAGACTCATGTTGAAAAGGGTTTTAGTAATCTTGATAACATCTAGCCAGCTGAATTAGGTGAGATTGAATAAAACGCAATGATTGGTAACAACAAACTTACCTGTTTATTAAGAAATAAACACAAACTGGACAAAATTATGAATAACAATCTGAAATTGCACAGTGAACACTAAAACCGTAAACAGTTAAAGGTGCAAGTATTACTGTAAGTTTTAATAAAAATGCAAAACTGAATATGGAAAATATTCTATTAACTTAGAATCAGGACTCTACTCTTGAAAAAAGACACTGCTTAAAAAAAAAGATCAGTGCAAATAATAGTGAACTATTACACAAAAATGCCTTATACTCCCCAATGTCCTCTACACCTAGTCTCTATCTACACATCGTGCAGGATAAAATAATCCCACACGGCTGACATTTTCCCCGCTATCTTCCAATTCACCTGTTTTAATGGTTAGGCTGGGAGACAGACCCAAAAAGACCTGTGGGTGTGTTGAAGGTGTTCTGGAAAATGCGGACCGGATTCAGGGAACACTGGCGCAAAATAGTGGAATGGATCATTTCAATCGGTGAAACTGGAAAATACAGACCAGATTTTTTTTTTTAAACTGGATCGGCAGTCTGGATAGGCATTTTTACATGCTTTGCCGATACGCATTTTTTTGCCAATATCGGCGTCCGATCCGATACGTGGATCGGATCGGGACAAGCCTAATCCAGCTCATAAGAGGAGATAAAAAGATGTTTTACGATGACGGGAGGAAAACTGTTAACAAAACATCAAGGTTAAATAATTTGGGGCAAACAAGAACACAGAACTTAATATCAATCTTATTTAAGAGCATGAAAAGCTTGGATGAAACTACTTTTTTTTTATATTCTTTATGTAAACACCAACACAGCTATCTACAGACAGACAGACACGCGTAGGTTGGCCTACCTGGAGCTCAAGGGTGTGAGAACTGGACACCCAGTAGTTAAAGCCCAAAACCAAGACACAGGCAATAAGGGCAGCAACCATCAGAGAGGGGGCTCTTCCTCCTCGCCGACCGTTCCCCAGCCCACCCATGGTATTCTACAAACCTGTAAGACAAATTCATCAATGTTTTTACAACTGCCTTTGAATTAAAATATATATATTTATACATTCCTGTAGATGGTATACTTTTCACCATACATGTCCTGAATCATCAAAAGAAAGGCCTGAGATCATGAAATTCTACCTCAGCATGCAGGTACCACAACATGGTAGATATTCATGATACTAAACCCTGCAGGGAACAAGGGACACTATGCATGAAAGTAAACATGTTAAGAGGTTTTAATTTGACATGTATTACTGCATTTATTCCCAATCCCTACTCTTCTTTACGAAATATTCCATCTGCATTCACATCTGATAAAGAGCATTTGAAAACATTGAAACATAAACTGAATTGAAACATACATATTTAGCAGAGATGAATCAATACAGGTGTTTATTTTTTTTTTTTAGGCTGATGTTGATACAAGTTATTTTGAAAGATGCCAAAACTGCTGCTTGCAATAGCTGCACAGGACAGAAGGGAGAAAACCTCACATTCTCTAAAAGTACAAGGGGAAAAAATATATATTAATACGGTTTATCGGCCAGTTGGGTTTTAAATAATCAGCATATCTGATATCAGCCCAAATTCCAACATTGTGTCCAATACCCCTACAAGAAATTGACAATGGATGAACCATATCCTGTTGTTAATAACATCATAAATCAAAGTATTGGATTAATGTTTAACATTCAATTTGGAAAAGTTTCTTCTCCCTAAGCCTGTCAGCTGTAGATAGTTCACATGTTATTTGTCATTTCTTTTTTTTTTTAAACCAACTGTATATTTTGTACAACTCTATATAATTTTAAGTACCAAATCAGATATTACCCAGTACTTGAGTAGCTTATTGTAGCAGTTGTTTACTTTTACTTGAGATATTTTTGGAATAGTGCTTATCTTACTTGAGTACAATGTTTCAGTTCTCAGCCCTCCACTGGTCCTATGCATCCTTTTACTGTCCACAAAGTAATACATGTCAAATTAAAATAAAACTACAACTGCTGCTGTTACCATCTAAGACTTATAAGATAGCGATTCATCTGGACAGAAAGAGGTTAAACAACAGGAAAATATCATTTTTTCCTGTCACATATCAGCCTAGCTAGTTTAAATAGAGCATACAGCATGAGTGAGCATGGTGTATGCAAGAGTAATTGCTATATTTTCTAACTGTAGCAAGTGAGCATTGCATAAACATTAAAAAATGGTTCCCTTATCATCATGGTCAAAATCAAGAAAGGTACCAATGCAGTCGGGGTTAATGTTATGTAGATGAAGCTATTACTTATTGACTGTATTAGCAAATGAATGGCAAAGTGGAGCAACATAACCTGATAATTTATCTCCCAGAGCAAGCAGCAGAGCTAACGCTAACACTGTTAGCAACACAGATTGGTTCCAGTTGAAATAGCTCGGAAACTATTTACTCACCAAATATGAACGAAAAACAAAACTAGATTTCAAATTGTAAAGTTTAGGAATTTATCAATGGTAATCTTTTTAAAAAGGGAAGTCACGTCTTCAGAAACCCTTCAAAGCTGCAGCCCTCAGAAGCTCGTATCCATTACTGTCATACTAACAGCCTGACCTGAACGGTCTGTGTGGAAGGAAGTAACAGTCCCGTGATGCCTTTAAGGACCGTACGACATTTGCTAATACTCCCTGGTAAAAGCTTGTTTTATCAAACATCAACATTATAAACAACTAACCATATTTTTATTATAAGAGAAACGAAATGCTTTTATGTACCGTGTGTTGACCGTTTTATTATAGTGAATTGAATACACATCCAGTTTATTGGCAAACCTTTACGAAAAAGTGGATTCTACAGAGAGCACGAGAATGCAGCACAAGTAAACCTATTTTTTCCCAAACTATAGAAATATATTTTCTTAAATCGTATGAAGTTATCTTCCTTCCTTCCTTCCTTCCTTCCTTCCTTCCTTCCTTCCTTCCTTCCTTCCTTCCTTCCTTCCTTCCTTCCTTCCTTCCTTCCTTCCTTCCTTCCTTCCTTCCTTCCTTCCTTCCTTCCTTCCTTCCTTCCTTCCAATTTGTCAAGTGCTGCTGAAATCCTCATATTACCAATTCACTACTGTGATCGTGTAGACCATAAAAGGGTCATAGAAAAATACTTCCGAATGTAAAAATCCCTAAATCACCTTTTTTTGTCTGGATGGCCTATCCCAATTTTTTTTTTTTTCTTAAGGTTATAATTAGTAATTTATCTGTAACACTTTTTGCTACGAATCTCGAATTTCAGCACTTTGTTTTAATTACTGGGCAAAATTATCTTTTTGAGGATGTTTAACGGTAAATGGTCAATACTAATGTAGTGCTTTATCAAGTCCAAGTCCTTCACACAACGTTCAGGTTATTTTCACGCTGATTGTGTCAAGCCACACAGTACTTACAGCTTGATCTATGTTTATCTTCCTGTATTGGTGTAACTAAAATAAGAAAATTGGTGTAAGAGTTTGTGTTTGCCTGTGTACAGGATAACTTGAAATGTCATGGGCTGATTTTAATGAAAATTTTATCAGAGCTGTCCCTCATACTAAGGAACAATCCATTAAATGTTAGTGATGATCCAGATCATAATCTGGAGACAGGAATCATTTTAAGATTCTCTAACATTGTGAAATAGGGATATTTGGTGGAATAAGTAGTTCCCCATTAAACCAGAAGGTAGCAGCAGTGACTATTGACAGCCTCAGCATTGGAGTAAGAAATTCCAGAGGTATTTTACTAAAAACAAAACAAAAAGTTAAAACTTTTGAACGGATTTTAAGGAAAAACATTTTACTAAAGGTGTGCCTCATGCCAAGGAATGCTTAGTTTAAATTTATAAGTTACAATTTGGGGCAAAATCTGCTGCTTGGCGAAGGTCTGCACACTTCAAATGCTTTCCTAGTTATGTTGGTTATTTGGAGCTGTGCTAACAACATTTTTATTGGATGGAAATTGTCGATTTCATACAAACCTTGTTAGAAAATTATTACTTAGTTCATTTGCTATTCCTAGATCAACTTCATCACCTTTCTAACACTAACATTTATTAGATACATTAAACATAACACGTAAAATAAAGTAAACGCATCTTCATGAAAAAACATTTAATTCAAATAAATTTAATGTTGTTTACTCAAAGGAAATAAAAACGGTAATACAAATATTGAATGAAACACTAGGCAAACCAACTCTTGTTATTTTATTTACAGATACATACATATAAATATAAAAAACCCTGCATAAAACAAGTTATGATTTCATTATTAATTCATGTGTTCTGTTTAAAGTGAAGAAAAGTTTTCATTTTAAACTGCAGAAATTGAGATATACAGCACTGTATTAAAAATACTACAACTGATATGACAAATGTAAGAGATAATTACAAAAATATATTTCACAAAGAGCTGCAAATATTCTGGATAAATACATGCCTCATCTGTCACCAGAAACCAGCTGTTTAAATAAACTGTATCCACGAATAGTATAAATCAAATATACAGAATAACTTTCCCCTCAGAGTCCACAGCCTTGAAAACTCCCTAAAAAATAGAAAATTTAACTTATATAATTAATAGCTTTTTCAATTCTCAAGAGATTCTGATTTGATTACACATCATCAAAGAAGCCTGTCAGCGAGCGATACCTTCCAGTCGTGGATCTATAAAGATAAACACAAAGATACAGAATAATAACGGCTCAGTATTTTGTGATTTAGCTCTTTGGTGTGTTAGTGAGGAGATTACCTTTGATTCAGTAAACCGTCATCACTGGAGCTATCTTGAAGAGAACTAATGTGGTGCTCCTCTGCATTTCCATCTTCTGTGGTGACTGCAGTCATGGAAAAAAAGACATAAATGGAATACTGTAAGTTCAAGGAGATACTGAGGGATGGAAGAAATCTTAATAGCCACTAAAATCAGGATGAAACATGAGATAAACGAGGTAATAGTAACATTTGTTAACTAAACAGAGCGCAAACATTTTACGCAATGACTTTAAAAAAGGCTTTGGGCTGTGTATAGTAGTGTTTCCCGAACGTGGGTGGGTACGCATACCCCTAGTGGTCCATGAGGGTATTGCAGGGGGTGCATAAAAATGTTTTTTTGTGGTAGTAAAATAAAATAGGACTGGGATCTGTTCTGCTATGTTAGGACCCAATAGAAAAAATAAACAAGCTTTTATTAACCAAGAAGTATGTTTTTTTAGTTAACCTTCAGCTTTGACACACATCCAAACCAAGCAGAGGAACATGCTGGAAGTAAAGAGCAACCTGGTATCTGTTGTTTTTCACACTGAGCTATTGGAGCTCATCAAAGCAGCTCAGGTGTCTTGATGAAAACAAAGTAAACCTAATTAAGTCAGTCTGACTATTATCTTTGTTCTGAATTTTGTTCCCAATTCATCAAGTTTAAATGTGATTTTACAAGGTTTATATTATGAGTTTAATTTGTTTTTATTTCGATTCCTCACTAACTTTCTCATTTGTTTATTTGAGATGGAAAGAATACAATACGAATTAAATGCTCAAATTAAAAGATTAAGTAAAATATAAATAGTAAATAGTCTTCTTTTTATAGTTATTGTAGGTCATACTTCGGACAATCATCAATACATTTGATTGAGAGGGGAACTCATGCCAAGTCAAAACAGGTTGAGAAACACTGGTCTATAGCATGACAGGCAACATTCCTCCCCCATGCACATGACAGCAGAGGTTTTAAGGTAGTATATGAACAACTTACTCTTCAAAATTGACAGAAAGCTGTGATTAAACACTAATTCAGTCAGCTGATCATAAAAAAAAAAATGCTTTTATTGGTTTGATTCAATAATCTAATCTGAAATGGTGTTTTTTTTTTAATCTAAGAAAAATATCCAAATATTTACCAGCTATAAAGACTTGAAAACATCATTTTTATTTTTTTAATCTACTAAATATTTTCACCTTACAATATATTATGAAAAACATGTCAGCAATATTCTAATTTATTGAATATTACTAGAATTGTTAGTACAGCCTAATACACTATCTGTTCAAACCATTTTTTTTTTTAATTCCCTACCATTTTTCATGGCCTCTGTTTCAGGGCTGTGTGCGTCATTTTTTAACTCCGTATAACCGGCTCTGCTTCGCCATGGAGTTGCTTTGGCTCCATATCGCTCCCTCCAGGCCTAAAACAAAAGAAGAGCTGTCACATAAACACCTGGCAACACTTTACACAAAAAAATATTATGAACCGACATACTGGACAATAAAAAAACAACCAAACAGCTTGCAAAGATGATATATTAGAAGATATGTATATCATTGTTTTTTTTTTACCCATCTCCGATTTTGTCCATCCTCCATTTTTTGCCTCATTCTTCTTTCTTAAAATAAACAATATTAAAACATAAAGTTAAACTCAGAGTCCAGATTTACTTCTAATAAAATATTTAAAAAAAAGACATGGAATGTGTCAAACATGACAATTCCTGTGCAGTTTTCATTTCAGCTTCATCTATTTTTTTTAAGAACTTTTTTTTCTTTAACAATCTGAACATTTCAATTGCAAACATTTACTTTAAACAGGCTTAAACTGTTTAAAGAGACATTAACTAACATTATGTCGTTAAATATTATTTAAGAATTAGAATTTACTGCACAATCCATAAAAATAAGACCATGCTTTATGTGATTCAAAGGGCTATTTCACTGGTTTGTTGGTTATTCTGGCCATCTGACATATCCAAAACATGGCTGCATTTTTATACTCTAAATATCAAAAACAAAATGTATATTCATTATTTTAATTTAAATGGTTTAACTTAAAAAAAAAAAAAACAACCATTGTGATTTCAACACAATTTATTATGAAATACTGGCATATTAAAAATTATAAACATATTTTTCCACTCCCTATGCATTCCCTATATATATATATATATATATATATATATATATATATATATATATATATATATATATATATATATATATATATATATATGTATAAATAAATAAATAAAATGAAAATTAAATACCTCTTCTAATTAGCTCCTTGCCTTCATCGACCAGGTCAGAGGTCCAGTCATTGTCAGTAATGTACTGATAGAAACCCAGGAGGTTTAAACAGCGAGACCCCAAGCTATAAAAACATGTAACAAAATACAATTACAAACTGCTTTCAAGTATTCGCTTCTCTATATACTATAAATAAGCACATTTTAACAAAAACAGGCTCATCAGAGCAGAAGCTTTTCCAAAAATTTTAATTAGCCAGTAATATAAAACCAGATAGAGATGAAAACATTTTTCATGCCATAAAGTTGAAACTGGATTTTTAACGTCATATTGTTTATTTTTAAGTTTAAAATTTACTGTAAAAATAAATGTTTTAACCTTCACACATGTTCTGCAGCATTTTTCCGCTTCTAAAATAACTCAACATGATAAACCAATACGTAACAAATATTCCACATCCTTTTCGAGTAACCATATAATGTGGGACAAATAAAAGCTAATGCTATATAGCCCTGAGTGGTTACTTTACTTGTAAATAGTTGCAATGCAGAGCAGCAACACCAGCATGGGATAATAGATGTAGAACCCATCAGATATGGCAGGCAGCAGCCGCATGGATCCCATAATCTGACAGGGACGCAAGAAGACAAAATCAGATCACTGCATTCGGTGTAACATTAAGATGGGACTTTGTTTTTAATCTAATGCTGTTTTCTAATGTGGATCCATATGTAGTTGATTTGGTAGTTTGACAAGAAATGTATACAAACTCACAGAGGTGTAGGATGTCTGTATTCTGTCCTGATGTGAGATGGCAGAGTCCATATGAATCAGACCCAGAAAGTTGAGACACAATGGAGGAGTCAGACGACAAAACAGCCTAAGCAAAGAAAAAAACACAGACTTCACCGCTTATGTTATGATACCAGGACAACCTATCCCAAATGTGCTAACTCTTAAGATTGTACTCTTTAGGTTATTTATGTAAATCCTAAGAAAAGCAACATTTTAAAGGGATTAACACCATATTCTAGAATAATTTGTCTCATAAAAGCAAACTTTCAGGAAAAGACTTTCCACGTGATGGACATACATTCCGCTGAACTGCAGGCTATAAGCATCGGTTTGGTGATGTGGCACCAGATGATAGTAGTTAAACACCCGCATTCTGAACACCGTGGAGTACACGCACACACACATGAAGAGGATGCCGATGAAGCACACCATCTGGTGGAGAAAAGGGTATAAAATAAGGCTAATGGGATTAGATCTATATTAGAAGGCCAAATAGTGAATTTTGGGCTGGGAAATTTACCTCTATAAAAATGTAGTTGTAGTGTAGTTCAGCTTTCTGAACGAGGACAGCAAAAAGAGAGAGGACGGGGTGTGCGCTGAAGAAGGTACACTCAGACCAGACGACTGCTACAGAGAGGAGAGACAGGAGGACTGCTAGCAGCCTGCAGAAGGGCTTCCTGAACACACACTCCCAATACCACTCTGAGGAAAGCAGAATACAGGAAATAAATATAAAATCTCTCTGTTCAAACATATATGGAAACCAGTGGATTTAAGTAGCTACCAGGCAAGCATCCCCGTATGCATGACTCTGAAGTCAGATTTAATATGAATCTTCACAAAGCATCTGTTTTCAAGCAACCAGGACTTGTGCAGCCAAAACATTTGACGTCTTCAGGCAAAAAACAAACATAAGTTGTTTCATGAAAATAGGGATAGAAAGACAGTCTAATAAGAACTTATTCATGGCTGTACACAAAACCAAAATGATAATTTTTGAAAGGTATAAAAAGATCAGGCCAACGTTCAATGGACAAGCACTCACAAAAAAAGAAGAAAAAATGTATATGTACTTTCATCATCATTCAAAGATAAAATGTTTGCCTTAAAAGTATAGTGGAGGACATTCTTTTTCCAGGTGGAGCATCAAAATAAATGGTCCTCCTAATTGTCAATCATTCTGGTGATATGTTTACATAAGCCCGTCCTATGTGCTCGTCCCCATTTTCACTTACCGGTGAGTCTGACATAGTGGAAAAATTGCAAACCTTGTTTTGGAAAGTAAGCTTGTATGAGCGATGCAAACAGCAACTTTTAAACAGAGTGTGCACAAGGAGAAATGTGCTTGTGCATGCTCTTGCACATGTTTAATAGGCGGCCCCTCTCAGGAGCGGGTACAGGGTTTTGAATGTGTGTGTGTTCAAAGTGGAGAGGGCGAGTCTATTCAAAGATTTGTGAAAATCTTCCACTATACATTTAAGAAAACGTGTACCCCTACATTGTGTAAAAAAAAAAAAAAAAAACTTTATGAACTGAATCAAAGACCCTCTTCATTTAGGAAACATGTTTAGCTATATGTTAAAAGCTAAAAAAAACACCAGTGGTAGCACTAGTTTCTAAAAACATTTTAGCCAATCAGATGTTATGTTATCATAAAGAGCAGATTATACTTCTGCAGCCGCATATCTAATGTCGCTTGGGTCTGGTCGCAAACCAGTTTTGCTGTTATGCTTCTGCACCGTCGGTCTGGAATTTCTAGGGAAGCCTATTCGAGAGCTAGAGAGAACTTCGGTGGATGGTCACAAAAACTTCGGCGGCGCCAGCGGGATTGTTTATATTCCAAAACATCAATGGCGCGTCTGCAAGATATCACGGTCACTGAGATGGATCTAGAGTTGCTAGACATAGAAGAGGAACAGGTTCTGTTAATGGAGTTGGCAAAAAGACCGATTAAACTTTCGTCGTAGTTGTCCATTGTAGTTATTACTCGTTTTTTAAAAATGGCGCACCCCGGCACCGAATCAAGAAAGACGACCACACAGACAGCCAGAAAGGCATACCAAGGACCAATCACAACTGCTTTTTGTGTGCGCACTTCTTCTTGAGGTCTTTGCGGGTTTGCGACCATCCTACGCGTAGCCAGGATTTTTTGAGGTACGTGACGACGGTTGCAGAACCTCTGCGCGGGGGTTGTGGTCGGACAGAGACAGATTTGACGGTTGCAGAAGCTAGGCGTCAGAAGCATAAATTGGCTTAAAGTAGCAGCATTGATCACAACTGGAGATTAAAAGCATTCACTGAGGTAAATACTATTTCTATATAATCACCAATACTCATTCATAAAAACATCAGTATACATCTACACCCTGGAGAATTGACTTCATCTGCAAAATGGTGATTTTGGCCGCAAATGAACTCACCTACAGTAGGAGTGTAGATAAACTTGTGTATCCAGCCAGGCGGGTCCGCGGAGAAGCTTTTGGTGATGATTCGTCCTGGACTGCTCTGGCTTTTCTCAATATCTTCTAGATGGAAGGCCTCCTCCAACAAGAGGGTCCACTGAACCTGAGTCTGGCTGTGCCTCTGCACGGCAGTAATCACCTACAACAAAACATTAATAAAAGCCAACGTTTATTTAACTCTTTCAGCACAAAGTTTATAATGCAAATGAAAATTAGATGGCTACTTTTTCGTGAAGTTTGATTAAGCCACTTTTGGTAGGAACGACATCATGTTCTCGACGAGAGTTTTCCACGTTTCTTCCCATCTCTTCCTGGTACCTAGTGGGACACTGGAATTCCCATGAAGGTTGTTATGCTGATTTGTGGCATTGAAAGGAATACTGGTCTTGTTCTCTTAACATTGGGCTGTGTATATTTCCTACCTTCGTCAAAATAGTGTCCACATATTTCCTGAGAATGTGGTCGAACCTTACAGATTCATTGACGTCTGCCACTTCCTGAAACAGGAAGTAATTTTGTTTGTTTTTGTTACAAACAAAAGAAAACAACCATCATAAAGGCAGCACAATTTTTTTTCTGATTTTTTTTTTTTGATTTAGGTGAATTATACTATCTGAAAACCCTCACCTCCATAACATCTGCTAACTTCTCCTCGGTTGCTGCTTTCTCCGTTGCCAGTTTTGCTACCTTAAAGTAAGTCTTCGCCAGCAGAAAACTATTTGAAGACGAGAGCCAATAAGATCGTGGGATCTCCACCAAGCCGTAGCCAAGCAAGAGCACCAAAAGGAACAGACCCCAGGTGTTAGCAGCAGCGATACCAATCGTCTGGAGCTCTGTCCTGGATATGTTTAAAAATCATAAAGAAGAAGCACAAAGCAATGTTTACAATATGTGACAACTCTTTCAGAAGTTTAGAGTTTCACACACAATCATGACATACCATGTAAGTTTCAGCTTTAGGTGAACGGCTGCATAGATCAGCAGGAGGATGAAAACGAGCAGGTAGGTGCCATAATAAATTGCATTTTCAAAAAGAGCTGTTTTAACCTTCCCAACTATGGAGAAAGCTCCAGAACGGGCATAGGACTGCATGAAGGGCAACAGCAGCCTGAGCATGTATCAACAGAGAAAAGACAGAGTTTACACACACACACACACAATTCACCTCACAATAAATAGTGTAATTCATCAAAGTTAAAAGGTTTTCAGTGTGTTCATGAGTCTTGGAGATGTAAGGAGTTCACCATGTAAGAAACTGGGACGTCCAGTACACAACTCTCCAAAACACTGGCAGGACATTATCTGGGATGTAACTCCAGGACTTTACACACACGTTTGCTGCCCTAGAGGATGCAAACAAACACACAGGCTCACATACGACAGATATAGCTCAAAACAGCTGTTTATTTGTGCACCGTTACATAAATAAAAATACTAAATGATATCAATGCTTCAACTAATGAATATTTGAAAATCAATTAATCTGATGATTATTTTTCCAATAAATCTATCAATAATTGGATAGCATAAGGTTCCTTAAAGAAGATTTTTTGCTAATTTAAACCAGGTGAAACTAAAACTTTTCCACTTATAATTTTTTTATTTTAATTAATATTGACAGACAAAAAATATTTCTATCTTAAGTGCAAAATGTTTACATATTTTCTTTTCAATTTTGGTATAACTGCTGCTGTAAGTGGGTCACTCTGCCAGATAAAGGCATTTTTTAGAGTATCTACACTCCAGTTAACAATTAATCGATTACTAAATTAGCTGACGATCGTTTCAATAATCAATTAATCACAATTAATCCGAATAATTGTTTCAGCCCTACATGATATGTCAGAATTTTAAAATCTTTGGAGAAAAAGAAGGCACTAAATTAGAGACAAGTTTTAATTTTGATAATGTTAGGTAAATAAAATAAGTTTTATGATAGCATGGCTAATCCAACTCCACAGCATTTGGCACCAATTAGGGGGGAAAAAACTTTTTTGTATTTTCTTTATGCGTACAGATGAATCATTTATCTGTAAATGAGTTACCTAAGCCACCACCCTAATCAACAGCTAACTCTGACTCACAGAGCCCGGGACATGAAGTAACACAGTAACTTTGCATCTATTAAGCACCTCTCTACTTCTCATTTACTTTATTTACTTCTGATTTTTTTATGCACTCTGCTGCTCATTGCAGTAATGCATTAATAATTCAATACATCTGTTTTGTTTGAAGAGTGTATAAATTAGTTATCCAGTCTCTGGCCTGTTTGTAATTCTTTTATTGCTATATTATTGTGTTATTATAAACATTTTACAATCTAGAGTCAATTCCTCATATATACAATTCCTCAACATAGCTGGCAAATAAAGCTGGTATCTGATTTAGTTTACTTTAACATCCCCAAACAGCAGGAGAAGTAAGGAGTACATTGTTCCTCACAGAATAAATTTCAGAAATGTTAAGATAGACAACAGCTGGAGGAAGTCAATGACTCTGATCTGAAATAGTGGATACTCAGTGTGAGAAATAAAAAACAATTTATTTTACCTTGAGGGTTGGAAAGAAACCGAGCCGAGGTCAGGCAGAACAGACCGTCCACTTTGTGATGAAGAGGAAGTGTGGTTTGAATGGTCATAAATGCACTGGTTGTATATAGTCTGAGGAAAGAGTTAGAGCAAACAAAAACACATTTGGTGTAACTAAACAGCGAAAAAATCGCAATGCAATTATCTTTAAAACAGTCCATTTGATTTGATCTTTATTTTTCCTGAACTCATACCGTGCTGACATCAAGCGGCAGGATGAATACGATGAGGAAGCAGAGGTACCAGGAGAGAAGGGTCCCCAACAGGACCAGGCGCTGCTGGTTCCTCAGATCTCCATAACGATGGAGAAGGTAGAGGGCCAAAAGGAAAACAGCAATGACCACAGCAGACAAGGCAGCAGCAGTCATGCTTTCTCTGATTATCAGATCTGATGTACAAACTTCATGATGACGTCCAGCCTGATAGGAAGCAAGAGACCAAGACAAGGAAATCAGTTACAAGCTCATTACTGCAGGGTGGATATCGGCTCTTTATCAGTAGCCTAAGGGTAAAATTATCTGATGTCATTACTCAAAAGGGCTGGGAGCAGACAGAGAGCCAAAAATGATGGGAAAGTTGAAGCACAGATTAAGATCACTTAATCCCAAAATATCAGAGGTATAATGCTGAGTTGATACCAAATGATCTGTTAACAAAAATAAAAGCCTGTTACTTTATTGAGATGTATATTTGAATATAAATATTTGAAAAGAAAAAAAAAATATATTTTTTTTTTACTATTTTTAAAGGCTGCATTTTTAAAAATGAAATTATCCAGAGAGCTGTTTCTAAACGAAATTTCGTTTTGTTTTACATTTGTGTAAACAGAAGGAAAAATAAATCTGTCTGAGTCTAAGTGAATCTTATCTGTTAAACATACTAAACTAAAAAGCATTATCAGTACACGTGTTAGTATTGTTGTTTCGATTTTAAAAGTGTGTTTTTTTATGTTTTGAAAAGTTAAAAAAATAACAAACTCCATCCAGCCTCAGTTTGTCGCTTTTTTTTTTTAACCCTATGTCCTAAAGTTAGTCTCTAAAAACAATAAAGTCTACATCTGTATAAAACAATGGCTTTGGAAATGTACATCGTACCTTTCGCGATTTCTCAATTTCACTCAACTTTTTTGAAAGTTATTCCGCTTTTCTTCCTGCCAGGTCCGAACCTTTGAAACCAAATTGCGTAACGAACGTACGTTACTTGTTACGTACGACACGTCCATACGCAACATGGTGAAGAATTCTGGGTATTGTAGGATTTATTACAAAAATGATCACGGAAAAATACAGGAAAACTCTTAAGGAGTATTTCAAAGATAAATGCAATTTGACAATTGTGTTTTTAGAAGAGTTTTTAACGTATTTTTCGATGTCGTATACTGAATATTTTAGGTTAAAGGGAACAACCAATTTGGCAGAGAAAATAGATGTTAAATTGATAAGGGAATTACAGCGTACTCTAATCGTTTTAACCTTTAATCTTTCATTCAAAGAAAGAACAGATAGTAAATAGATTATTGTGTTTTTTTTTGAAGGCTTTTGAGTTTTTTTTTTTTTTTGGTATTGCTGTTGTTTTCTGTTTTATATTAGTATATAAGCTGTTTTAGTTGTCATATTTTACATACAGTCCCTATCACCATATTTAATGCCAGTTATTTTTAAATGTTGGCTTATATTTTGGTGATATTACTCAAATGATTAAAAAAAACACCAAATGGATAACCATAAACAAAAGAAAGAAAGAAAGAAAGAAAGAAAGAAAGAAAGAAAGAAAGAAAGAAAGAAAGAAAGAAAGAAAGAAAGAAAGAAAGAAAGAAAGAAAGAAAGAAAGAAAGAAAGAAAGAAAGAAAGAAAGAAAGAAAGAAAGAAAGAAAGAAAGAAAGAAAGAAAGAAAGAAAGAAAGAAAGAAAGAAAGAAAGAAAGAAAGAAAGAAAGAAAGAAAGAAAGAAAGAAAGAAAGAAAGAAAGAAAGAAAGAAAGAAAGAAAGAAAGAAAGAAAGAAAGAAAGAAAGAAAGAAATATGTATATTGGTTTAACAATATACATTATTTTCTACATTCTGGTGATTTTTAGCGAATTGAAGTAAAGTAGAATGGGCCCTACTAAAATACTTGCATCTTAAATATACTTTGAACTAAGAATTTAACAACTTTGTCCATTAATTATTCTCTGCAGTTCAAGTAAATTAAACAATGGGGAACTAATAAGATATTACTGGATTACTGGCACTGATACTGGAACCAGTGCAATCGAAACCTATGCAAACTACACTGTGCATGAATATTTGGTAATAGGCTAAGGATTAAAAAGTTTAATTCATTATGTTATTAGTTTTTCTTACAATCGACAAAACAGCTAAACAATTCAGACCTTCTGGGAGGCTGTAAATTTGATTAAAAACTCTCTGTGACAGGAGACAGCACTTCTCTGGATGTTTCATTTTGAAGGTGTGATTGAAATTAAGTTTTTTTTTACCTATTCAATGGACTAAAATAAAGAGAAATGAATAAGATAAGTAGTAATAAAAGAACATCCCTGTGGTTTCTCCTGTATGAATCCAGTATAACTGAGTTGTCCTGCACATCCTCTCTGAATGCAGTTGGTCTTTTCTTGGGTGGCTGATCTTTTGAAAAATAAAATGCAATCATTCTTTTTCTTTTTGTGGAGCTTCTATGGGTTTGAGAGGCAAACCTGAAAGCTTTAAGAATTTAGATATTTGTGTTGGCTTAATTACTCCTAAATGCCAATGGGAGCTTATTCAACTAGACTGAGCAATAATTATTTAGCTTGTGAGCAAAACATGGACTAAAACTGGGACTATAAAAAGAAGGCTCCACCTCACTCAGGCTCCACATCAATAATTTAAGCCAGCTGCTGTATTTTTTATTCATATTTACTTAAGTACAATATTGTTTAAAATCTTCAATAATCTTCAAAAATCTTCAATAATGTACAAAGAGAATAATCCTAGTCCAGATGAGATAAGATAAAAATTAAAATGACATACCTCATAACAGCTGCAGTCCACTCTTTGTGAATCTCCCCCACATTTTTGAATGGGTTTTGTTTCACAATCCTCTCCAGGGTGCGGTTATCTCTCTTGCTTGTACACTTTTTTCGACCACATCTTTTCCTTCCCTTCGCCTCTCTATTAATGTGCTTGGACACTGAGGTCTGTGAACAGCCAGCCTCTTTAGCGATGACCTTTTGTGTCTTGCCCTCCTTGTGCAAGGTGTCGATGGTCGTCTTTTGGACAACTGTCAAGTCAGCAGTCTTCCCCATGATTGTGTAGCCTATAGAACTAGACTGAAAGACCATTTAAAGGCTTTTGCAGGTGGTTTGAGTTAATTAGCTGATTAGAGTGTGGCACCAGGGGCCATCAATTTTGAACCTTTTCACAATATTCTAATTTTCTGATATGATGAATTTGAGATTTTCATTTGTTGTCATTTGTAATCATCAAAATTAAACAAAATAAACATCTGAAATATATGAGTTTGTATGTAATGTATGAATATAATATACAAGTTTCACTTTTTAAATGGAATTACTGAAATCAATCTACTTTTTCATGATATTCTAATTTTATGACCAGCACCTGTATGACAATCCATTAATGCTGTCTGACCTGGCATGGCCCGGAGCTCCTTAGGCAGTAGCTGTCTTTTTTCAATATCTGGCACAGTGGGAATATGGACTGGGTATGAACCTGGCATGTCCTCGTGTATTAGCACTAAGTTTGTATTAAAAACGCGGACTGGATTTTGATCACCATGGTATTTTTATACATAAATAATTTGAGTTTTAATGTCTGTCATTTTTTAGTGTGAGAAATTGGGAATATGAAGTGAGATTTTGTAACGACACTGAGATGGGTGAGTCTGACCCCCAATGGGTAAGAGGTGTCAGCCCTGTGAATGTGTTTTGTATTTTCTATAGGCTTGGTCATAATTACACATACAGACTTAAGTATATACATAGAGTTATGTAAGCTGCAATGAAACCACATGTTTTTTTAAGCCATCAATCAGGTTTGGGCATATTTCTGATAATATTCTTATAAGTATTGGTATAGCTCTTTTGATTTTAAAATGGCTGTTTTTTGATAGTTGGGGGTTCCTACTTATAGTTAATGTGGCCAAATGACTCAATCTTTGTCTGGGCTTTTTTATGTAAGGAAATGCACAGTGGAGCAAGACGTTTTAGCATTGATTAGCACTCTCTAAAGACCATGCTGTCATTAAATTGACAATAACACTACGGTATTAGTGATGCAAGGGTACAATTAGCATCCACTTTAAAAAGATGATTAATTGTTGTTTTGTTGGGTGCTTCTTAAAACCCAAACAGATTTCCTTCCTACTGATAGTGACAATTTAGGACAGTTGGCTGAGACTTGGAAACAATTGGAGGCTCTAAAGATAGACTCATGCCAAACTATTAAAGTTTGCTCTACATTGCTCACCAATGTTGAGTGGTCAAGTATCCAGTAAGAAGAAATCAAATAATGTTAGGAAAACATTTATTGAATAAAGTGTGATCTGCTTCCTAATATATTTTGTAATTATTAAAAGTATTTCCAGTATTTGGCCTAAACTTTCATGTGTTTTAACCTCAGCATTAAAGGGTAAACATCAGGGTAAAATGCATTTCATTCAAATACCACTGTAGATTAAGCAGGAGGAAAACAAACTGTAACATAACACAACAAACCCTTCTCAAACTCTTTATTTATACAATATAAGTTGGTTACATCAGGTAGAGTGGCCATTTAGTCTAAATGCCTTCCAACCACTAAAGTTAAATATTCAGAAAAATGAAATAGAAAAACAAAACCATCTGTCTATTTCAGGGGTGGAGCAGAAGCCAGAGGCATGGGTCGTCAGCATAGAGCGGGCCCAGTATGTTAAAACAAACCACATGGTGCTCCAGCAAAAGATCCTTGTGGCACAGTACATCCAGAAGCAGATGTTCTAAAAGATTAAGAGAAAGACTCCAGTCTTCCATTGATCTGGAAATGCCCAGTGTGTCCAGCCAGACGGATCCAAAAATATCCAGAGATTCTGTCCAGTCCTCAAGAACATATCCCAGTAGCTCCATCTGGTCCTTAAAGCTGTTTGGAATTCCTCATGTAGACTTAGATATTCCAGTTTATGCAGACAAGGACAGTTCCACACCCGGTATGCTTGGTCTATCCATTTGGCTTTGCAGGGTTTTCCAGTTTTCCATGTTTCGCTGATGATTTCCCCCTGTCTTTTTTTCTACATTACCAGGCCAACTGACCTGATCCAAACAGTCACATGATAGATAAAGGCCTCTGACAGGTGCTTAGGGAGGCCATCTGTTAGTTTGCACTCTGAGCCAATCCAACCTTCTTACACAGATTAGAGATACTAGGTGTTCGATCATTCAAGCCAACAGAGCATATCCTTATGTCCTCAGGATTTTCTCACGTAGAGCCCAATAAGACTTAGATTTGATGCTTTTGTTTTTGCTTTTTTATTACTTTTTCTGCTGGTCTCCTATAAAGGATAGTAACATAACAAAATGAAAATTAGATATTTCTGAAGAAAGAAAAATTATTTAATTATATTTTGGTAAGCCTGGCGATGGACTGAAACTGGATGGATGGATGGATGGATGGATGGATGGATGGATGGATGGATGGATGGATGGATGGATGGATGGATGGATGGATGGATGGATGGATGGATGGATGGATGGATGGATGGATGGATGGATGGATGGATGGATGGATGGATGGATGGATGGATATTAGGGCGATAGTTATGGAAGAAAAAAGAAATATGAAATTTTATCAAAAAACAAGAAATTGTACCTTTATGAAACAAATAATAAAAAAACATATAGTTCAAGAAAAAAGTATGAATGGAAATCTGTGGTTAAGATTAGAAAATAAGCATTACAACAGCTAAATATAAAAAGAAAATCTCAAAATAAATTAAATCATTATGGAGAGAAATTATGAGATGATTCACTGTGTGATTAATTCAATGTGATCTAAACAAGAGCAAATAAAATCATACAACTCCTACATGTTTATATGTAGAAATTCAACCTGTTTGCTCTGGATTAAATTAGAGACAAAATAAGACTGTCAATTTAAGAAAGTGGCCAAGTACACAAATGGGTTTTTGTTTTTTTAAAGACAGGACA